ATAACATCAAATGATTTTATAATTCCGAAAAACATTTTTTTATAGCAAGTGAGTAGAAGCAACCCTGGTAGGGTAGAGAACTACTTCGGCCTAATCGCCCATTTTGGGCCTATCGAACAGAAAACTTGAAATAAATCCATGATTTCAGAGCTAACAAGTCAATTATGCGTTTGGTAGGATACTTTAGTTAATAAGCTAGTCTATGAGAACGCGTGATATGAAGGTTTGCACTTATTATTCCCAAAAACAAAAGAAGCGCTCTGAGCGAATCATGTTTTATCTTCATCCGATAGGCCGAAGTGAATTCATTGGTGTTTCGATAGCGTTTCAATGCGTTAGGCCAAGTTTAGAATCCGTAGGCCGAGTTTGAAGTCAAGAAGCAGTGTTAGACTTTTGACAATATTTCAACGATTGGTTTCTCTTTATCAAATCTTATGGTACGTACGGAAAGGTAAATTAATTTGAAAGCCATCAGTAATAATAACATTCCGCTTGGTGCTAAACTGCACTAGATTTAGAAATACTAAGTGCGGGTTGTGCTTAATAGGCCGGAAATGGCGTATTTAACCCTACTCAGTACGGAAAACAAGATCGACGGAATACAAATCAAGAAAAAAAGGAATGAGTGCAAAAAAAGAAAGTTTTCCATACAGCAACGTTGCATGGCAGATAAGAAGACATACTATACATCATTTGCTGAAAATACATTAATGATCCGATTTGGTCAACCCTTTTAAAAGCTTGTCTAATGTTCTACGAAACCCATGCGCTTTTTCAGTTGTCTTATCCGTCTTAGCGCATCCATCAGATGATGAGATGAATGAGAAAGATTTGGAATTACGGTTATGTGAAATTATTAAAAGATAAAAGTCTGATGCGCAGAGGGGCTGACAAAATCGGATCATTACTGTACTAGATACCGTATGACGCTACGCACAAGTGTAGGGTACCAGTTAAACAAATTCTATATGAGCGCCGCTGGACTGCGATTTTAGCTATTTAAACTAACGGTGTCCTACCGTACTGTTCATATATACACTGAAACAAATCGACATGTACCGTTTATTGGATCCATCTTATAACATAGCAATGTCAGGAGATTTATTCATTCTATGTGATGATTGATAGATTCCAATGGATTATCAATTAAAAACTATGACTGCGATATGGAATGATTTCTATCGTAATTTCACATACTTAGTACTTGATAATACTTTGCTTCGAACGTGGTTAGCGATAGGTAAGATGTATATGAATATTGTCTGATATATTTCATGGTGAAAAACTGTTGATATGTCATGGGTGGGAACAGGCATCTAGAAACTAATGGAAAATCATATAAGTTTGCACTATGAGCAAATCGAGTAAAATTTACCTGTTTTCATGATGAATATTGCTCACTAAAAGATATATCATATAAGATAATCATGTATATTTTATTGGAGTTGCTTTTAACGATTTTTGACGTTTGTTGATATGTCGCGTGTAAACAGACATGTAGAAACTATTGGACTGTCATTTAACTTTGCAGTATAGGAAAACATGTATATCTCATTGGAATAGCTTTCTTTGATTTTTGAGGTTTGAATATTGTAAAAAGATCTATCCCAATCATTAAATAGTCACATAGATTTGCCTTTTAAGAAATCCAACAGTAAACATTTGTTTTGGTATGTTTTTCTGGAATGAACATCGCTCCCAATAAAATACATCTTACATAATTGTTCTTTATAGCCCAGCACAACCGAAGCTTCAACTTTTGGGTAAACCGATCACTCATTCCATGTCTTTTAAATAACTCCGGGTCTGGTTCGATTCCAAATGCACCTGGAGATCCCACATTGAGTATCTGAGACCAAAATGCCAACTAAGGATCAATTTCCTTCGATCAATTACCGGAACGTGGTGGGGAGCTCATCCGCAAGATCTTCTGACGTTGTACCGGACAACGATTTTATCGGTTTTAGAGTACGGTAGTTTTTGCTTCCAGTCGGCAGCTAAAACGCACATCATCAAGCTGGAACGGATCCAGTATCGTTGTCTTCGTATCGCGTTAGGATGCATGCACTCGACTCATACTATGAGTCTCGAAGTGCTGGCGGGCATGTTGCCACTATCCGTCCGTTTTTCAGAGTTATCTCTTAGGCTCCTCACCCGTTGCGAAGTAATGAACCCACTGGTGATCGAAAATTTTGAGAAGCTTCTGGAGCTAAATCCTCAAACATGTTTTATGACTTTGTACTACCTATATTTAACACAGGATGTCAGCCCTTCAAGAAATATTCCCAATCGTGTAATCTTCTCCGATTTCGGCAATTCAGTGAATTTTGATTTATCTATGACGCAGGAAATCCGCGGAATTCCAGAGCATCATCGTCCTATGATTGCTCCGTCATTATACGCTGCAAAGTTTGGCCATGTTGATTCTGCAAGAACGTTTTTCACAGATGGATAGAGGAGTCCGCTGGTTTTGGTGTATTTAATGAATTTCATAGCGCCTCTCGAAAACTTGAAGCTCCTTGTTCTGTGTATGTGGCTGAACTGGCAGCAATTCACTACACCTTGGAAACTATTGCTTCACTTCTTCCAGACCACTACTTTATTTTTACGGATAGTCTCAGTTCTGTCGAGGCTATCCGTTCCATTAGGCCGGTAAAGCACTTCTCGTATTTTCTCTTGAAAATACGAGAACTGCTTAGTACTTTATCCGTGCGCTCTTTCATCATCACCTTCGCGTGGGTCCCTTCGCATTGCTCAATTTTGGGCAATGAGAAGGCGGATTCACTTGCGAAGGTGGGCGCTATGGAAGGCGACATTTATGATCGACAGATCGCCTATAGTGAATTTTTCTCTATTTATCGTCAGCAGTCGCTCGTTAGCTGGCAACATCAATGGAGTGAAGGGAGCTTGGGACGATGGCTACATTCAATTATCCCTAAGGTGTCGAAGTTTGCATGGTTCAAAGGGTTGGACTTGAGTCGAGACTTCATACGCGTGATGTCTCGTCTCATGTCCAATCACTATTGTCTAAACGCTCACTTGTTCCGTGTGGGGTTGGGAGACAGCAATCTCTGTGAATGTGGACAAGGTTACCAGGACGCTGATCACATCCTTTGGTCTTGTGCGGAGTATCGTGGAGTCAGATCACATTTTTATGATTCCCTTCGGGCTCGAGGTAGACAACCTAATGTTCCAGTTCGTTCCAGTTTATGAAACTCATATATGTTTACTTTAAGGATATTAACCTTAGATTGTAAGTTTGATTAACCTTGTGCTTAGTTTGTATTTTGTACGTGTGGGTTTTTTTTTCAATGTTTGTTTTCAAGATGAATAGAAATAATTTCATGCTTTAGGATTAATTAAATAGTTGTATCGTAAACCACATTTCAAACCTCCTTCTTCCCTTTTCCCATCCAAAAAATTGTAAATCTCCACTAACCTCGAGACAACCGCGAGTACTCGGTCCAGTTCCTTTAACTTTAAATTTAAGACAGTAATAATGTATAACGCAAAGGATAACTCGGCTCTGTAAAGTTTATTCGATTGAGCCTGTACAAATAAAGTAATTATAAAAAAAAAAAATAATTGTTCTTTATAAATTATTGAAACAATTTTCAACTATGTTATCGTACACTCATTAGAGTGATTAGTCAAACTAAATATTGCTAACAACAATGATACTGTAATAAATAATCATTGTTTCATAAGATAAGGGGTTCCGGAAAAGAATGTTTTGAGATTGAAAAAAAAATGATTCTACTGCAATATTTATTTGCTAAGATTCTAATTGTAAGCCTTCTACACGGCTAATTCAGATTCCAGCACTAGTACTCGAACTTCATGAACCAGTTCCATGAACTCATATAATGTAGTCGTTGTTTTATTGCACACCGGAGCATTAATAATGATTTGAATACACGACAGCACTGAAACGGAGCATATATTGGTCAGTGCTATTTTTCTTCACTCTAGCAAAACGAGCATAACGTTGCTCTATATTCCATGTTGGGAGAGCTGTTATTACTTCATGCTAATTGAACGAGTTCAATATTGAAGTCAGCCGTGGCCCAATGGAATCGAGCGCAGACACGAAAAGCATCACAGCTCAACAGTTCTGGATCGAATCCCAAATCAGCTACAATAAAAAAACACAACTGTGAAAGCTCCCACTGCCTGGTGTTTATTTTTCGATTTATTTTTAGAAATCGATTAAATATATGTGTCAAAAGAATAAGTAAATTTCATGTGATTTTCACATAAACTTTACTTCGATTGATTTATGACACATATATTATATTGTGGTGAAAAGTAAAGCTTATGCTTATGGGTTTCAAATCCATTTCAGGTAATTATTATAATTTGACCGATTTTCATTTATCATATGGCGATCATATAAAAGTTTTCAAATTATCAGCATTGTCAATGTATCAGATATTCATATAGAATTTACCTGACGCATTTTCAATCATATCATTTTCAATGGATTATCTTATAGCGCAAAATTATTAGACTTCCACATAACAGGAACATGTCAAATTGGTTCAGTGTATAGTGTTCACTTGCACTGCCTATTAATCGCATATCAGGCTCATATGTATTTTGGTTAATTTTAAGATAACAACGCTATCCACTATCAATTGACATCTACTTTCATATTATGTGATAAAACTACGGACTTCATGAAAAATGTGAAAACAACATCAAGTCAGTTTGTCCCATCAAGCAAAGTAATCGCATATCAATCTCATCTTTAAATTCAATCGTCCAGAGGTAAAGTTGCGGTTCTGCTTATCGAGTTGCCACATTTTTCGCTAATATAACAAAACGTGCAAGATTCAATGCAACTGATGTAAGCTTTAAAAAATTATTTATAAAGTTACTATGATTTTTCTAATATTTATATGGGAATCGTACTTCGTAACTTCGACTGTCATTTCCTCATTGCCATTTTTTTTCCATATGGAACTACTGATATGGGATTACAAGCTGTAACAATGCTAGTACACCAATAGAAGGAAAATCATCGACTTGGGTAACTTTCATACTTAAAACATAAGTAACTCTAATTTATTTTCAACTCAATTTTTTACACGTAACAATGATCTTTGTCGGTTAGCTTACAACTAAAAACCTAATTATGAAGATAAATACTACGAGGATACGGCGAGTAATATTTCCAGATCGGCTAACAAAATTTGTTAATTGTACAGGAAAATCGGCTACAACTACTAATATACTAGTCGACCTAGTCCTAATCAATTTTTTTAAGATTTGTGTTTCTTTATTGAAAATGTATGTTTAGTCATTGTTATTGTGCTGCCTAGGTACGACATGTATGTTCCTTTCCAACCTAGGTAGTAAGAAATGCGTCAATGCTTCATTCCGATTGCTCACTCACGTTCTCGTTCGATTGATCTCTTATTTACTGGTAGCGCTCGTAAACATAAATTCCGGGGTTTCGTAATGCTCGGTATCACAGTAGTAGTGGTCTGGTGTGGCAATCTTTTCTAGCACCGTCCGTTTGCGACCATCGTTGCTGGTACCGTCACCGTGCACTAGTAGTTTCCTATAGAAAGAACAAGTTCGCTTGCCATACACGGGAATATCTGCGTTGTACGGTGGACTTAAAATGTCGAAAAATGCTGCCGGCCCACCGACGGCAGTTATCTCATGGAAATTACGCTCCGCTGGCGTAAGCATAGCGCATTCACCCTTGTTAACACCGATGACCCTTTCCTGCTCCACATTGACCAGCACGTGGCGAAGTTCGTCTCCATTTCGGGTCTGCTCCCTACGATCGATTTCCGTGTAGCTTTGTATTTTGACCGTTCCGGCCACCACCTTTAAAAGACCGTGCATACGGGGATGGTCATGCAATGGCATCGTGTAATTCTCCCGCAACACAAACACCGACATCGTGAAATAGGTGTTTTCGAAAATATCGATAAATGTACAGGGCGCTTTGGTTGGTAATTGAAACGTTTCGTGGGATACTACCATCGGATCCAGATTCAGATCGGCCAACGTTAGCTGATCCATCAACGCACGTAGGTTCTGTAAATTGTTGAGGAATCTTTCGGCATTGGCCTGCTCGAAAGTTACTTTTGCTTGGCGGAACACACGGGCAAAGAGGGTGGTCATGGTCGGCAATTTATCTCCAGTCGGCTTATCAAGGCTTTCTCCCTCGATGGGTGGTGATAACTCGATTTTTTTAAACACTGATATTCTGTTTATTTGTGCTTACGCAATATCTAACAAGTCATTGTCTTTCGTTCGGAATTCAAGATTCACATAATCCTTCGAACTCGCACTATTTTGCTCCGGGCGGTCAATAGTAGTTGGGCAAACAAAATCACTTTCTCTAGAGGTTTATTTTCTTTTCCACCGTGCGAGCTACAGAAGAGATAACGAACACAAGAATGAAAACCGTCGTCGGTTTGACATTTTTTTTCAACCGGCTGTTTACAGGGTGAACCAAAAGATAAGCAACCGAGGAAATAAATAGTGAAACATGGATCAACAATAGAAAAGGGCCCATCAGCATTTGTAAACAAACCGTTCTAAAGCCCTTTCCTCAGAAAACAAAAGCCGCCCACGCAAACCAACACCATTATTGGATAGGGGAAAGTTTCCCCTATACGATGATGTTGTTGGTGTGCGTGGGTAGCGTTTGGTTGGTGAGGAAAGCGCTTTAGAACTGTTTGTTTACCAATGCTGATGGGCCCTTTTCTATTGTTACCGTCCCAGAGGGAAACAACCAGCCCAGTGGCAGGCGCGTAGGCAACATGTTATACCATGACAGCGGGCCCAGAACAGCAAAATGAACGTTTTGAGCCCGGGACATGCTGCCTACTGTCAAACGCTGCTGTTGGTATAGGCCTTGCCACTGGCCTGGAAACAACAGAGCAAAAAACTAATTTAATCATCCAAGCAGAGCTGCCAGGTGGTTTTATAAAAAATCTGTATCCACTCTATTAAAAAATCTGTATTTTCTGTATTGACGATTTTTTTTTCTTAATTAATCATGTTTTGTTGTTTTACCGTTACCGTTACCTTTACCGTTTGAAAATGTATGGAGATTTTAGTTTCTATTCATTATCTTCCTGATAAGCAGTTTTAAATGCAAAAAAGTGCACGAGTTCATTACTATTTGATATTTTTAATATAGATGAATACAATTAATTACATCATTTGTGTGGTAGTTACACCGAAAAGTCGAGAGATGTCGCCACGCCAGTGCTGGTAAAATCATTTTTGCAGTATGGAGAATATCAGAAAATCCGCAATTTCTTACGAAATACATTTTCAATGCAAGTAAAATGTTTACGAGTACTTGTATTTGTACCATTTTAATGTGCTCGGGCACTTTTCTTGTATTTAACATACATGCTTATATTGGAAATATTCAATTAATACTGTAAATCCCTATACAATCTCAAATCGTTTACTACCAGCTCCGAAAGCGGTTCGTCCTCTGGTTGTGAATGCTGTCAAAAACACCATAACATTCATTTTATAAAAATCTGTATAAATCTGTATTGTAATTTGAAAATCTGTGATAAATCTGTATTCTGTATCGGGTCTGTATTAAGATTAAAAAATCTGTATAATACAGATAAATCTGTATAAATGGCAGCGCTGCATCCAAGTAAAGTTGGGGTTGGCACCACCGACAAGCCGACATGAAACATAAACTTAACTCTTGATCGAGAATCCATAACGGCCGATTCAAATGTGCCGCGATCCCATCTGTCAAAACCATAGAATTTTTTTTATCTAAATAAAAATAATTTGTCCGAAATAGATTAGACACGAACCAACTCATAAATTTTGTACGCGTGTTCGTGGCTAGGATAAATATTTTCCGCGAACACGGCGACAGATGTCAGTTTTGTGCTTTGATCCAAGGGGTAAGTCACTCAGCACATTGTTCCGAAATTAGAATCGGCACAGCTTGGGCACATCCATCGGTACACCTTCGATATACCTTCGGCACAATCTTGTGGGCATTGAATTGTTGTAAATAAAATGGGAGCACTGCTGGACAACTGCCGTTGAAATTGTTCACAACATTACGTGCTGTTTGACTGTATTTTCAGGAACATCCTCTAATTGAGTATAACAGAGGAACTCAGACCAGCAGTTCACTTATACAGCTATACCCCGTAGAACGAGCTACCCACTGAGTTGCACCCACGGCTTTTTCTCGGTGGTGTTTCAACCAGTCGATCTGATTTTTTGCATGTAAGTTGTGCCAATGGAGATCTAGTCACTCACAGAAAATCAGAGCACTTGGTTGAAAACCCACCGAGACAAAGCGGTGGGTGAAACTCAGTGGGTAATGCATTCTTCGGGGGAAAGCTGTAGATCTAAATATGAAATGTAGGTTCTAGAGTGGGCTTAAGAGAAACAGGCAGTTAATAAGAAACCATTAGTACCTTTAATTCAAATAATGCTGCAACTCACACAAAACAAACTAAAGCAGTCTAATCGTCATCCTTTATAGTTGGTCTCCAGCAACGCTCCCCACCGGTTCCAACTCTTTCTGGCCGCTAATAGACCGATGCTTTTCACATCACGAAAAGCTAGGTTGCTGGTCTACCTTTGAGGGCATTATAAAGCACTCAAACACAGGACTTTTATTACCCTATGGAACACAATTCACATATAAACATTGTAGGCTACAGTGCTGACACCACCAATGGTGGTGGCTTCAGCAACCCTCCTTCTTGGCAGGGGATTGATAGAAACGCGGTAATGTTTACAACAGGGAATCTATTTTCTTGTATTTTGACAGTCAACTGCGTCGCCTATAATGAAATAGTCTTTGCACGGTCGTTTCCGAGAGAGAAGAAGAACACGTCACAGACAAACAGAAGCCAGTTGTCTCATCTACTCATCTTCATCTACTAAGAGATCAACTCTACAAACTCCGATAGGGCGCTCATTTTACCCCTATGGTTGTATTTCGGTTACAAAATGAACATTTTTATAATCTGTTTTCATAGGGCTTAAATCTTATTTTGGACTTACTACCCTAATAAACGGGTACCATACACTAACGATATCATAGATGGAACGACCATACCTCATAAAGTAGGGATGATATCCCGAATTGGTGATTAGGAGCTTCCTATGGTTATTGTTTATGCGGGTAAGCATACCCTAATAATAAAAAAAAAACATAAGCAAATGATAACCCAAATGATTGAACCATTCCACAAGAGGTTTGGATTATACCTAGAACACGTCGTTAAGCAAAATAACCATAACTATTTTATTAGGGTAGCTCGCCCTTTGCCTCTATTTTTCGAGCGGATTTGTGGACTATACTCAATATCAATTATACAAGGTCTGGCCCAACCGGTTTATGGGTATTAGCGAGCGTATTAATGAAATTTGGAAATGTTTATTGGTGTTCGTAATTCATCGCAATGTTTATCTTTTTATACGAAACAGCTGTTTTCTGTGACGACACGTCTGCCATTCGTAGTATGGAATGTTGTGCTGCCGTGACATCGTCATTCGCTTGCTCAGCAATGTTTACAACATTTTTTATTCTAACACCCGCAAGCTGCCTGTTGTTCCAGACCTTGTATGATTGACATCGGGTGTGTGGCTAAATAGTGTCAGGTTTCAAACGCTTATGGTCATTTATTAATGAATTTCAATGTTAACCGTCCTAGTGAATTAGATTCTTTTTTGACCCGGCGTCACTTGAAAAAAGCTGTAACTTTGTAACGAAATATGATAAATAACTGAAATTTCCTCACTTTTCCTACCTTCAGAAACGAACATTTTGCTGACAACAGAAGCTTTCAGCGACCTCCAGGAGTGACGCTACAAAAAAGTGACATATTGTGCATTAGGGTCTAAAAATACCCAGATTGCAACTCGGTCCCAAAAACAATTTTTGAATCGATTCTTCATCTATGTATTGGCCTCAAAAGAAAGTAAAGGTTCCTATAATGGCACCAAACTTCCAAAACCATCCGACGATTCATATTATTATTATTATTATTAAATTTTATGATTTTTTCGTCCAGAAGTAAATAGACATTAACCCAAATCCCGTAGCCCATTTTCTGACCTGCAAACCCTTAAACTCGAACGTTTCAGGCAGAACATTTGATAACAGCATAAAAGCATTTGTAAACAAACTTTCTAAGGCCCTTTACACGCGAACCAAAGTACGCCCACGCAAACCAATACCACTTTCGGAAAGGTGATAGTTGCCCCTAACCGATGATGTTGTTGGTTTCCGTGAGCGTACTTTGGTTCGCTTGTAAAGGGCCTTAGAAAGTTTGTTTACAAATGCTTTTGTGCCGTTATCAAATGTTATGCCTGGTTTTAGACATATAGTTAAGAACGTTTCATGCAATGGTTGCAATGGTCTTTCTAGAAAATTTTCGGTGTTACTGATTTTATTTCCATCACTATTGCATTTGTTGTTGTTATTGTTTGACTCCATGTCCATGAAACTTATCAGTCGCAACCGCATCTCACAAGGAAAGTGATTTTATGACTAAAATGTAAGAACATGTTTCAAAATTGATCGAATTTGAGTCATTTTATTGTATCATCCTCAGGTTATTTCAATTTTCAGACGAAACTACATCAACATAAAATGTCTATAAGCTAATGGGATGTGACCCGCATTCGATGGTAAAATACCACGATCGTGGTGATGTAACAACCCAAGGTCAGACAAATTAAAACACAGTGAAAGTATATATAAATAAGTAGACGCTCGACATGGACCGTCCCAAAGATGACCGAGCAAACTACACCGCCTTGGCCGGCGGATTAACGGGATGCATTACGCGCTTCATTTGTCAGCCGCTCGATGTGCTGAAAATACGTCTTCAGCTGCAAGTAGAACCAATCAATGGCCGCTCGGAGATATCCAAGTATCGTTCGATTGCCCAATCAGTTAGCTGCATTTACCGCGAAGAAGGGTTATTTGCTTTCTGGAAAGGCCACAACCCAGCGCAGGTCCTCTCACTGGTGTACGGAATAGCACAATTTTCATTCTACGAAAGATTCAACGTTGTCTTGCGTGAGCTCGAATCATTTGAGGGTCACGACCGGGCGAGAAATTTCGTTTGTGGTGCCTGTAGTGGATCCTTTGCGGCACTCACTATTATGCCATTGGATGTAATACGAACACGGGTGATATCACAGGACCCCGGCAAAGGATACAGCAATGTATTTCAAGCATTCGGAACCATCTATCGGGTAGAAGGTATCAGGGGATTGTATAGAGGAGTGGGTCCGGCACTGTTACAGATCGCCCCGCTAACCGGTGGGCAGTTTATGTTCTATAATATGTTTGGCAATGTGATCAAACAATTCGAACGACTTCCCGAGAATGCAACGCTACCACCTACGGAGCTTTTTTTCTGCGGAGGACTGGCCGGTCTGTGCACGAAACTGTTGGTGTATCCGTTGGACCTGGCAAAGAAACGACTGCAGATACAGGGATTCTCGCAAAACCGACAGACGTTCGGCAAGCACTTTGTGGCCAACCATATGCTCCAGTGCCTTTACCAGGTGTGTCGACACGAAGGTGTGCGCGGCCTGTACAAGGGACTGAACCCATCGCTTCTGAAAGCTGCCTTCACGTCGGCATTTTACTTTGCAATTTACGATCAATTGCTAATACTGTTCAACAAAGACATTCGAAAGTCCAACTAGCTACCACTGTTACATTCACTAAATGTTGTGAATGCTTGATAAATATGCCACAGATTTATTTTATGTTTGAATTGTGTGTCTAGTTAGGAATACCACTCAGGATATTTAAATAAATACGCGCAACTATTTTTTTATGTAAATAACATTGTCTTACTAAACGGAAGCTTAAAAGAAAGTTATAAACATTTAGCAGCAATCTTTCTGGGGCTGGCCTTGTAACTATTTAAACTGTGTAAAATTACTTGCTTTGAAGTTCTAATAGGAAATTACGGATTACGGATAGTTTTAGTTCTGCATCACAACCACATTTTGTACAAATTTTATTCTCGAGCAACTTAGACCTACACTATTTCTCGTCATTTAACTCTTAAAAACGCATTAACTTTGCGTCACAATCGCACGTAGAAGGTGTATGGACCTGCTACCCAAGGTTATTGCATTTCGAATCAGTAGCGGAAACATTTGCCAGCTACTCAACCACGCATCAGTTATTTAAGAAAGTGCACTGTTGACTTACCTTTTTCAGCCTATCCTCACAAGATATGTACAATCGTTCTCCATTCCAGAGCACACCTTTAATCGCTATCGTCCTTGGTGTAGATGGCCTGATTTCTCCGTTTGAACTTCTTCATCGGTGGCTTCTCCTCCTGCTCATCACTCCTACCGTCTTCGGCAGGTAGCTTGGCGATTCCTTCCATTGCCAATGGCAAAACCTTCTCACTTTCCGCGGTGGATAGTTTCGGACTGGAAAGGTTCAGATCATCGACGGTGAAATTATCCGACAGAGTCGAGTCGTGTTTCTTCGGCGTCGGTAGACTCAGTATGCTTCGATTCGAAGTGGATAGAGACGAATCGTCTAAGGTGGACATGTCCGATTCGGAATCCTGGCGCCACATAGGCTGCGGAAGAACCGAAGCCAACGGAGCTCGGGATAGGAAAGGCGCTGGCTTCTGATCCTCGTCGTCATTTGCGCAAGAGTCATCATCGTCATCATCATCTAGTAGAACTTCATCTTCATTGCGCTCAGGGTTTATTGAAACGCTGGACGGAGTCTGATCGACGTAGGTTGAGGTATTGAGACTGTGACCGGTCATGAGCATCACCAACCGCAAGGGATCGTCAATGTTTAGCTTGTCGCAGAAATCCGTGGTTTGCGGATTGACGAATGCTTTCGGTTGCTCGACCAGATCGAAATCTTGCTCAACCGTAGCGTTGTACGGTTCTACTATCCGTGTGAAATTTAGAGGAATACGAAGATCGTTTTGAAACCGATCGAGAACTACCTTTTTTTCCTCCTCTGTCGGAGTAAATTTGAATCGCTCTGCGCCACCTTCACCTGTAATCAAAAGATCCAATCGAGGGATTAATAAGAAAAATTATACCTACAATTCCAGATGACGCAGCACACTCACCTGGCATATATCCGTTGCTCCCTTTAACGCTTATCAAATGGTTCGTCAAATTCAAAATAGTCAGCCATTCCAAATCGTAGCACAAGTCTAACTTTCCTTGGCTAACCCCTTCGCCGGATTCTATATCCAGTACTTGAAGAAATCGCCTCTTCGGTAAACACTTGTCCAATGCTAGAAATTTCGTATCCTCTCCATCTTCATGCGGAATGAGCGCCGAAAACTTACAATGAAGATGAGCAGAAAACCAATACGGAGGTTTCAGAGTCCTTAGTAGATCTTCACACGGCGGACTGCCAAGCTTGTTGGCCTCAATATCTTCCCTAAACGCCGGTTTAAATCGCAGAAGCTGATTCTTATTCCCATAGTCGGAGACTCCGCGAGGCCAATCATGTGATAGCATAATGTCCATCCTGGGCGCCAACTGCTTCAACCGGAACACATCAATCTGACGAATGTGATAGACGCTACGTTTCGTGGACTCATTAAACGGTGAAAACTCAAACCGTCCTTTGAGATAATCGTGCCCCTTATAGATTCCGGATATTCCACCTATCCGTATTCCGTTCACATTCACTACTCCAGCATATCCGAGATAGTAGATGTTTGGTGCCACCCATCCGCCGTACGGCAATTCCTGCAGGTAATTAGATGCCTCGTGATTCCCACCGATGAAAAGGGTCAGAACGGGAGCTTTCTTTTCACCGCTATAATACCTGAAAATCATCCGAGGTCAACACTTACTCAAAACAACCATAATTTCAATCAACTCACTTGTAGAAGGTACAAATATCCAAGTGTTTCTTGGGCACGGCCATGCACTGTAAATCTTCCAGGTTCCTAGTCGATTGAAAATCCCCGCAACAAATGAGCAAATCAATCTGATACCCTTCGCGTTGTTGGATCGTTTCAACCAAGTCGTAGATTTTTTCCAGCTCCCCGTGAGCACAACCCTCGATAGCAATCTTCATGGCAAGTTGATTTTGAAATAGAATCTGTTTATTGTGATTCTGCGGATTTCACTGATACTGATTTTGAGTACAAACTACGAAATTATTACAACTATATTCTCATCGAAATTCTTAACATACTTTAAAGGATAAACCTTCCGGTAGAATATCTAAATAGGTAGGTATTTAGTTAAAACACTAAAACATTTTTCTGATATTTTAGCGTGATGCTGATGCGAAAAAGTCAAACCGAGATTTTTGACAGCTAAAAACACGATCTTCAAAAAACATCAGGATGGAAGCATAACAACAGTCCGACACAATGAGATATTACAGAGGTGAAGCAATCGGTTAAGTTGTGTGAGTAAAACCCGTGTACGATACAAGCAATTAGTGACGTCACTACTTGCGTTTACGTTGATTTTTTGGTTTACTAATACAACCATATTTCACGATCTGCTTCACCTCTCTCTGTACTCATTGAGTCCGACAGACGGAAGGCGTTATTTGCACTGCATTATCGATGTACGCACGGGTAAAATTATTTACAATAAAATCGGGAGTAACACGCTATTTTAAAACTCCCCAAATTTGGTAGAATCCACCCAGATCGGTCAAAACTGAACCTACCCAGAAATGGGTAAACTGTTTTGCTAATACCATAGAGGTAACTCTAAAACGCTGTCCAGACTGGAGAGTTATAACATGTTATAACGGTTGTCAAATAATTGCAACACAGAAACCACCATCAAGATAGCGCTATAACATGTTATAACTCTGTAGTCTGAACGTACTATAAGACCAGAAGGTCCCGAAGATACGTGCTCAACTTTTTGGCTCAGCTCTGGTACTATCTTCGGTCCCAAGCTAATCGATTCACCCCTCGAAACATAGGAAAATCCACTAACCCCTCATTTTATCTGTTAAACTTTCATAGAGAATCAAAACAAACATAGTGTAGTACTAGAATTCCGACTAGAATGGGATACGTTAATCGTTTGATTGGGACCAATAGGCTAGTCAAGTAGTGAGCCAATTTAAAATCGATAGATTCGTATTGATTGTTGCTAATACTGTAGTCAATTTTATTTGTTTATACGAAAGTTAGAAGATATTGAGAGGTAAGCACATATCATCGGTAAAAGACGTGTGTGTGTGAGAAAATTTGCGAAAAATCTAAGGGCACCGGTGGGATTGGTATTGGTTTGCATAGGCGTACACTAACTAGGGGAAGGACAGCTCCAAGTATCAGCATCAATACCGATGGTGGAAATATTAAATATTTCAATATGTGTGATATTTACGTATCTTACAATTAGTCTGACAGTTGTTTTTTTGTGTTTGACCATTTTTGGTTTTAAGTGTACATTTGACATTCGTTTAATCAAAAATGGATTTCACATGAGAGACAAGTGTGATGATCATGCTGGCCACCTCCACAGAAATCCGCTTCTTGTTCTCATAAATTCGGCATTCTTTGGTAGCTGATCTCAGTGCACATTCCCAGGAAATAGTCATTAATTTCCACGAATTCTTCTTCGTCTGCAAACCAATGTGCTGTCCTCCTATAGAAACTGGAATCGACTTACTACGCCGCCCCTGTAAACGGAGTCCCAGGGTCAGCGTTGCCAGGTTGCCAGATTTATCCGGCACAGCCAGAGAAACTTCAGCTCTGCCGGACAGATTTTTTGAGAAATCTGGCAGATTCCATATGTTTATTTGCTGTACCAGATTTTTGCCAAACTTTTTATTCGGTTTGTGCCAGATGTTTTCCAAATAATAGAGTGATGGTTCCGTGGTCGTATTACGCTCGATTCACTATGAGCCTGCAATTTGGAGAGATTTGCTGCTGGGGAAACTTGCCTAGTCCAGTGCCGAAGCCGAAAACGAAAATCTAGGCAAGAATGATGAAACAGAAAGCTGCAGCAAACATAAACAACAACGGTGAAACGTCATTGAGTGTATGCGTTAAAGCTACACTGTTAATTTGATTTACTTTGTAGCTTTCCGCTTAACAATTATCATTAATATTTATACTAAAAACTATAATAACTACCAATATGAGCAATTTTTACACCAAATATTACTCCAGATCAAGTTGTACTTCCCCTAGTACACTAAGGTTATTTTTACGCAGGCTTTTTCAATCAACACGGATTTTTCATTTCACGAGGCTGCGGATTTTTTTTTTAACGTGAAGATATATTTTGCAGTTATTTTTATAGTAGCTGTTTTATGAATCAACTTAATTTATACATTTTATAATATTGAAACACCTTTGAAACAAGAGTTATTATTAATGAACTCATTATAATACAGAGTGTTAGGATAGTTATTCGGGTATTCTAAAAGGCAGTGGCACCCGTAACCTCACTTTTAACATGTGCACCAACTTTCAAAACCAGATTTAATGTTATATTCATAATCGAATCGAAACAAAAACCATTAATCTACTACTGTGTTACCCGACTTATAACGAATATACGTTGTATGCGAGTACCCCGCATACAACATATGACTCGTCTAATTTTGCATAGCATTTGCAATGTAAAATTAGACGGACTATACGTCAGGTCAGGTAACACAGGTATAGGTAGTTTACTCGAGATCTATCCATTACTAAAGAGCCTGAATTTATAAAGAGACGACATCTTATCCATTTGAGAGGTCTTAGCTCGATTGGAATAACTTTTCCTATGACTTTGACAGATAATCGATTGTTCCAATTTTGACCTGTCGTCTCTTTATAAATGCAGGCTCTTTAGTAATGGATAGATATCGAGTAAACTACCTATACCTGTGTTACCTGTCCTGACGTATAGTCCGTCTAATTTTACATTGCAAATGCTATGCAAAATTAGACGAGTCATATGTTGTATGCGGGGTATCCATTACACAGCAAAAAAAGTTGTTGAATATTACATCGAAACTGATGCAACCAGGTCAATCCATCGGTTGTGTAATATCACATTGTACGATGTACATCGATTTTGCGAACAAAATTACATCCATTGATGTAATATTGTATCTACTTTTTGCTATTACATCATTATTTCATACATCAGCTTGAATTACGTTGATCGATATTACATTTTTTTTTGCTGTGTACAAGCAATATTTTCATAATTGTTTATGTTTTGAAAGGTAGATTGACGTCAAGGTAACGCCACTACTAAAAGGCTGAGTACTGCGAACTAACTCAAAATGTTTGTCATCTGGGAGCCGAGTCGAACTGTCAAAAGAGCTCAGAAGTCATGTCTAGATAGAGCTGGAATAAGGACGAATGTCGCAAGTGTAAACAAACTGAGGTTAATACAACACGTTATACTACTATTAAAATGCTACAAAACGATACTAAAAATGTTTGGACAAATAATGTACTTTCTTAATGGGGCGAAACAGACATATTTTCTCCATACAAGGCGAAAAATATAATTTGAATCTTTGCACTACTACTGCAATTACCGGTTGGAAATCAAAAGAAAACATTGTTATTCTGATCGAAATAAGCGAAAACACCCCAACACATGAATTTATCTAGAATCCAACAAACTGCAATAGGTCGATAGTAACAAACCATCAGGAAAAAGAACGTAAACATTGAGGCGAAACAGACAATGTCAAAAACTAGCAGGCGAAACATAGGGGCGAAATAGCTTCTGTGAACGCAGCCGGGCGAATAACCTCAGGGCGATACAAGATACTATAAATCAAAAGGGCGCATGCAACATTCTCATTTTTTTCGAGCTGTAAATAAAAATAATAATATCAGGCATAACATTTGATAACGGCACAAAAGCATTTGTAAATAAACTTTCTAAGGCCCTTTACACGCGATCCAAAGTACGCCCACGCAAACCAACAATATCATCGGATAGGGACAACTATCACCTTTCCGAAAGTGGTATTGGTTTGCGTGGGCGTACTTTGGTTCGCGTGTAAAGGGCCTTAGAAAGTTTGTTTACAAATGCTTTTGTGCCGTTATCAAATGTTATGCCTGATATTTTTATTTATCTCACCATAATGCTAACCAATAATGTAATAATTAGGAACAGTTCATTTCTAGGATTGGTTTTATAGTTTAAATAATATTTAATAATTTTTGTTCAAAACTTCAGTGTCATTTTTCTCAGTTCAAGCCCATTGCGACATTGGCCCTAACTCCAGCTCTATCTAGATGTAGGTAGTTACTGTTTGAACCACAAGTAAAAGTTTTGCCACATACTGAAAACAAATTAAGAATTATAATTATGAAACTGTTGAAACATCAACCTTAGTAGGCGGAAAATGTAAATTATCGAACGTGATGCTCGAATAAGTGTTTTTATTTTATATTATTAATAATGCCAAAACTGGGTTACGAATTGCTGGAACAAGAATTTAATCAAACTTTACAAGAGTCATGTGAGCTTTGTGGGCAGGTGCACTCCCAACACAATGTATACCGTTCCGATTCAAATTTCGGACGATTCAAATTTCGGACACTTTCATTTTTAATTAAATATTACATCCAGTTAGAAACAAAGTAATAATGTTAGATGATCGTGGAGGGCACTAGTCAAAAAAATTTAAAATTTACAAGACATGTGGATCATATTCGACCGAGATAATCAACTTTTAAAAGTGTCCGAAATTCGAGTTTAAGTGTCCGAAATTTGAATCGGCACGGTACGTTATTTGTGGAGCAGAGAAGGAGGAGCGTAGAGTTCATTTGATAGCATGTATATACGATTTCGTGAGCTGTTTCAGCAAAAAAATTTGAAGCTTCGAAAGATTTTCAATATGTTTTCTTGCTCACTTGAAAAATTAAACCGACAGAGTTCGCAATACCCAGCTAAAAGGTAACGATCATGGAACTATCCCTTAACATATTACGTTCCCTTTACTGATCGGGCAAAAGGATTAGGAAACTACAAAAATTGCTGTGATCTAGTGACGTTGCCTTAACTTCAATCTATCTATGCACCAACTTTCAAATCGTTAACAAATCTCAAAATATTTATTGCAATTGATAAATATCAGAAGATTCTGTGGATTTTGAAATCAAATAAAATATAAATATTGGTAGATATTAAGTTTTTAAACTTGATGCACATGACGGATTTCACGCCAACTCATCCAGTGGTTGGCAGCACCCTCTCAGAACCTTATGGAACTTTGTGGGTGTGGAGACTTAGCAATTTTAAGCAACTTT